AAAATATCTGAGTAACTGACTAATTTCCTTATTCTCCCTTATAAATTAAAAAAATAAACAAAAATCACTACGTAAAATCAGTGGATAAGTCTATTAAGTCCAGAGCTGCAGTGAAATCTGCTGTGGGCTGATGCTGATTTTTGTCCCTCATGCAGACAAATTACTTTGAATAATATGACAGTCTGAGTTGGAAATCTCCGAAGCAGACCTTTGCTCGCCCACCCCTACAGCCATTTCACGAAGCTCTATCAAACATTATGGTCCACAGCGGCCCACACAAGTTCAGCTTTGTGATATATAAATTTGATCTCTTGTCTGTTCTCTCCAGCATTTTCTATATGGTTCAGCCAAGCCTCGACCCTTCTTCCCACCTTTTGCACAAGGTCTTTTCAGGCTCTCTCTGTGTACCTTGGTAAGCAAGTTTTGTTAGAAGTGATGTCTCACAGCAGCCTATAAACTGTCTGGGCAGGTTTCCTTTAACAGGCAGGAAACATGAAGCAGTTACATTTACAGATAACTCTTTCGCATGGCCCAGGAATGCAAAAAAAGTGCATTTTTTTATATCAGTGAAAGCCTCTTTGCATGATACTCATTGAACCAACTCTAGATCCAGGAGCATAATTTATACCCATTTTTATTCTGGATCCTTTAAGATTCTATTTTTATCAAGAGGATCTTCACGAGGGACAACAATTCAGCTCAACAGCTGAGACATCTGTGTTTAGGAAGAAAAAACCTGGCACTCTGGAGGTACCTGTCTCCATCTGTTATATTAGGAACCCATCTAACTGGTTTCAGCTAGATACCTAATTTTTAGATGGGTAAAGTTAGGAAAGTTAAACTCCACCCATCAAGATGGAGTAAGTGTCACAAAGCTGAGAGCAAATATTTGCCATGAAAAGCTAACACACAACCACAAACGTTTGCAATTGTCAAATTACAAAGCCTACAAATGCTATCGGCACACCAACTGTTACAGACAACTAACGCCAGGAGGGACTGCGAGGTGAGAACCCCGCAGCGGTGCTACTGGAAGGATGCTGGAAGGATGCTCGAAGGATGCTCGAAGGATGCTCGGGGCTCTCCCGAGCCCTCCTGGGCAGCAAGCAGCCGGAGCCCAGCTTCGGGGGAACCGAAGAGTGCTGGTGCCACCTAGAGGGAACGATTCGCCTAAAAAATCGGAAAACCATTCCCGCACGTGAGTGATATAATGTGCCACAGATGTACAGCACTGGGGAAAAAATTCCTAGAGAGAAAGGCTCTCACTGCTGTGCAAAAAATATACACAATTATGAGAAGTAGTAGCGTACAACTTACATCTTCTGCTCAACATAACTTGTAAATATAAATACAGAAGGTATATTTAAGATGACCAACTGCTGATTCCTCTCCCCTTCAAACCATTTCCCACCCTCACAGTTGTATTCCTTCCCTTCTTCCTCCAATTATCTGAACTCTGAGGAAATAGCTGACAAACTGACCACATCTGGAGGTTGGATCCTGCGTCCCTGCGCTGTTGTAGCACCGGTGGTGACTGGAGCCAGCTGGCAGCCGGTAGTGCCTTGGGCGTCCGGGAAGCATCGACTGCTTGGGCAAGACTTGGGAAGCAACTTCACAGCCCTCTGCTGATCACCAGATTTTCAAATGACCCACCTGAAGTCTGGCATCTGCCCGTATAACTTAAAACCCCTCTGTGTTACAGCCAGAAAAGAACCAACATCCACGAGCAAAGGAAAGATTGGTGCATAAATAGAAGTCATCGTCTTTCTCTCACCATTAAATCTGTCACCTACAACCTATGGTTCACTGTGATAACTACAGCGGTGACAATAACTCGCAGGGACACTATGGATCTTGGGGCGTGTTGCTGATGGGTGGACTCCGCAGCTCTTTCACAGCAGGTTGAAGTAAAGTTTGAGCAAGTGTTCACCAAAACATTGTGGACCACAGTGCTTTCCTCACCTTTAAACTGCTGCACATGGTTGCTGCCATGGGTTGGTCTGTGGGCACAGCTTTCATGCTGTGGCTCTTACTTGCCCCACAGGAAGCCCCACGTGGTAGCAGTGCTGGAGCCAAGGAATAAGATATTAAAAGGGACCTGTTCTGCTTGTTACAGCTGTAGTTTTCCTCAAACACTAATTTCTTCCCCTTCCCACTTATATATTCTGGTAGAGTGCAGAGCAAGTCTTGGCTCATGCCTACTAAATCCCTCTTTGCCTGGCTTTGCTGCTGGTAACACTGCAGTCGACATCACAGCTGGTGACACCACGTGCCATGTAGAATTAGTGCCTCAGTCCTACTGTGTACTACAGACCAATGTGTAGAGGATTCTAAGGAATATAAAGGTTAATTGATGGAAGAGTATTTGATGTTAAACATTTGCTAGTTCATTGACCTCCATGAGAGCTGTACCTCTGAGGTTCTGGGTTAGCTAAATTTAGGAGGCAACCAAAGTGCCAAAAAGCTGGGTACCTGTCACCCCAAAGGGGAACATGGCACAATGTACTGCGTGTCTCTGGGTGCATATGACTGTCCTGCTGGAGCCCTGTTGTCATTCTTCAGGTCCACCGCCCAGCAGCACCCCTGTAGGCCCTCCGGCCTCCACTGTCTCATGGGCACCATAATGTCCACATTCCTTATCCTTCACTTTAAAACACCCCTGAAGTCCAAACTGCACAGAAAAATATAACTTGGGTGCAGAGGAAGCCAGGAGTCTTCCGAACATGATTTCATGAAAATGTCATCTACACTGGGCACCAAAATTGCCAAGCAAAGCTATTTTAAATTTTAAAAGTTTGCTGTTCAGACAAAGGAAGGGCCCTCTTTATGGGCCAGACTGTTGCTCGCCTTTGCCTTATCTGTCTTGTGAAAGCCATAAAAGGACTGGCCTGCAGGGACAAGACTGCAATGTGTCTCCTTCATGTTTCAGAGAGGATCTGAGGCTGAAAAGGAAGAGGTACATCTGCCGTGCTTCGGAGAGACATGCTGCAAGAGTGGACAACCTCCAGCTGTAGGGACCGTGCAGCACAAGAGGACCCAGTACCTCGAGTCAGGGCCTGCAGAAGCACATCGCTGCCATGACCCCGCAGGCTGTCGCGGGGCCTCCCGTGCCGTCGCTGTTTGCAAAGCAGACACGGCTGCTCCCTGCTTACGCACGGTCTGCTCTGCCCAAACCAGTCACCACAGCAGCGCTTTCGAAACGTGGCCCTGTGGGACGCAGAAATAAGCTCCTGCCTGCTCCCTGGGATGGCAGCACCCCTCCCTCCTCCCCAGCGCTGCCCAGGCTCCCTCTCCTTCCCCCTGCCCTCACCAGCGGAGGGATTACCCACACACCGCCTGCTGCTCCCTCCCACTTCCCAGAAATGTCCACCCACCTGCCTGGTATCTTTATCTCCTGCTAATTACCCAAAACAATTAGCCACGAAATCCCTGAACCAGATTTAGGATTCAGTTACACCGAACTGACAAGGAAATTAGACTGAGCTCCAAACCTGGGCATAAATGATATTGACATTAAAATATTTATTATATCCCATTATGCAGGTGTAACTGGAGAGCTACCAATCTATGTCTTAGCAAGAAATGTGAACTCTAATTATTTTTTCCTAAGCAATGTTACTGATGTCATCTGTGCTTCAGCAGAGCATGTGCTGCTTTGCAGGATTCACTGACAGGATGGATTAATGCAGTCATCAGTGCATCCTCGAAGTAACTTAGGCAGAGATTATACTTCTTGTTTAGGAAAATATATTGGTAAAATTTAAAAATGTTATTTCGATTAAGCCTGATCTATGCCCCCCCAAAAAGATGCTATATGGGTTTGGTAGCTAGTTGGGGTGCATTAAAGTGCTTATGACATAATTCAATCCCATACGGGAAAAAGTCATCAACACCTTTACAGATACCTTGGGAGGTACCACTGTAACGGCAGCCACACTGGGCATTGTGGAAGCACACTTGTAGCAACAGATATTCCTCTTGAAGTCAAAAACCTGTGCGTACTTCAGGCCCAAATCTCAGTGAGTTGAAAGGTGATGGCCAGTGCCTTTATCTACTGATTTCATGCTGGTTTGAAGTAGCAGTAAAGACTAATAAAATTAGGTTGTTCTGTATTTAAAGACTTGGAAATACAGTCCAACTATATTTTTCCTGAGAATCGAATTAAAATCTTATTTTACACTAGAGCATTAATAAGCACTAACATAACTATGCCCACACTAAACATCATGACTTCATATATACTCTGAAAAGTTTGAAGTATCTTTTGTTGTCTCCTTGGAGGGAGTGAATCAGGTAATTTACTCAGTGATATTTGGTGACACAGACCGACACCTGAACACCTGCCAAGTAACACTTGAGCTTCTCTTGTGAAGAGAAGGCTTGAGCCGCATCCCCGTATGTGCGCAAGGCAGGATGCGGGCAGGACATTTTTCACCAGGCATCAGAGAACCTTCTCCTTTTGGCTTCTTCATTTCTCAGGTTAAAAGAAAGGCCAATAAAGCCTCTCCTTTCTTGTAACGACAAACTCAATAACGTTATTAGAATAAAATTCAGAATGCGGGACCCCACGCCCGTGTAACATGGCGGAGGTGGCTGACAGGTGAGCAGGTAGCAGAGACAAGCCGGGGCGCGGGAGCTCGGCGCGGTTTCGGGGTTACCGGAGGACACCACGGCGTAACTACCGGGCTTCTCTCCCCGCAGCGCCGTTAAACCCGCGGCAGCCTCCGCCGCCTGAACGAAAAGAGGCGACGGAGGCAGCGCAAACGCCGAGGAGCGCACAAGCTAACGCTGCAAACAGAGATTCCTCTCCCACCCCCCGCGCCATTTTGGGAGCCGGCTGCGAGAACTAGAGCGCAGCGGTCACGACTCCCGCCTCCCTTCCTCGGCCCCTTTCGTTCCTCCGCCGTCCCGGCTGGGGGGCCGGCGCTTTCCCCAAGGGCGGGAAGAGGAAGGGGAAGTGCCGCCGCGGCGGCTGTGGGCGGAGCGGGCCGGGCCGGGCCGGGGCCATGGCGGCCGCGCTGGCCGCCGCCTGGGCTCTGCTGGCCGCCGCCTTCCTGGCCGCGCTGCTGCTGCTGCTGCTGCTGCTGGGGCGGGCCCCGGCCCCGGAGCCGCGGCCCGACGGCGCCTCCGGCCTCTTCCAGGATCTCATCCGCTACGGGAAGACGAAGCGCGGCTGCGGGCAGCGCCCGGCCCGGCTGCGCTTCCTGCAGGCGCCCAAGAGGTGAGGGGCGAAGGTGTAGAAGATAAAGGGCGTATGCGTATCCTTGGAGTTGGGCTCAAATTTTTTGCGGAGGTGTTGTTCTGTTTTGACCGGTGGGGGACCGAGGAGCATAGAGGCTGCAGCCATACGGAGTTTATACGTTCCAAATTGGAACAAAAGCTTTGAATCCCAGTCCCAGGCAGTATCTGCAAAACAAACTTTCCCGCCAGATTTTGCTCAGGGGGCTGGGAATACGGATTCCTGAGTGTAACTGTGGCTGTGCAGGTAGACCGCAGCTTTACTGTCATCAACCGATGCTCAGTTGTTGTTTCCTTCCTTCGAGGTTTTTTTTTTAAACGTGACTTAGGATACTAATAACAGCATGTTAACATAATGATCTGGACCCTGTGTGAACAGTCTGTAATAAGGCAAAAGAACCACTGCATTATCCAAACACATCACTTGATAGATGTTTAATAGGATGAAAGGGGTGGGAAAATAAAAACGTTTACAACTTTCTATACGTTACTGGGATTTCACAGTTTTTGATCAGCTGAGATTCATGACTAGAACTAGCCTTTGACTTGGACACAGACAAGACAAGATCTTGCAAGGCCAGCAGGACAGGGCTGGGAGGCTACTTAACCTGAAGATCAGATCGCCTCTAATGTAATGATCTTATTGTCACTGTCATGTTTTATATATATAGCTTTCAAAGCCAATATTTAAAGTTTTATGACACAGCATGTTTTTCATGGAAAGGATGTAATGTAGTATCTTGGTTATCAGGCTTCTGGTTACAGAAAATACCCAGGGATGTGTTTAAGCTCTGGAGTACTCTTACTGAAAACAAGGGCTCATAAAGGCCTTGTCTTAATTGCAGCACATTGCAAAGTGCCACATTCTTAAGATAGGTTCTTGTTTGGGTTGAGCTTTCTCCCCCAGAAGTTTTCCACCACCCCTTCTTAGGGAGGGTGGTGTCTGAAAAACATGGCTTTTTCAGGGAATTGGTTTCAAGCTTTCAACATCGACAAAGCGATTCTGTTACTTGAGTGGTTAGTGAACCTGTAACCCAGCTACCTGAAAGAATAGAGAAGATCCTGAAGGTTGCTGTTGAGGCATTTTCTGTTTCCATTCATCTGTGTCTTGTTTCTAAACAGGCACCCTATTTTCACTAGCCTGGGCTTGTTTTTAACTTTGCCATTCCATCTTGTCAAATGTTGTGATTCATTTCACATTGGTTTGGCAAATAGTGAACACCTCTCCTTGAGGGATGACACGTACTTACTGTGGTGCTGGCTCGCTCTGTAGGTCAGATACATCCCCAGCATAATTGGGATTGCTGAAAGCTCTCGGGGCATGTCTGTACTCGGCTGGCAGGGCTTGTTTGTGTGCTAGCAGCAAAGCTCAACGCGTGTGGAGAAAGTTCTCTAGCGAGTGATGAGACAGAAATCTACTGAGTAACAGGACAGTAAGGAAAGAGCTTGAAACTCGGAGGTGGCGATAGGTTTTTATCAATATACAAGTTCTATTTGTCTTCTAAGTAGAAAATGCAGGAGAGGGACTAAATTTTACTTCTGCTGAAACAGAGTTCTCTACTTACTGATGTAGGGCCTGAAAGGGAATGTACTTGCCATCAGGCAAGCTTGTCCTGCAGCTGCATTTCCAACTAAGGAGCAATGAGAACGTTAATGAAGGCCCTTTTTGTTCCCACAGGTGGTTTACTCACTTTTACGTGGTTTCTGTGCTCTGGAACGGCTTTCTGCTGATCTGGCTTTTCCGAGCCAAGTTCCTTGGAGGGTCGCTCCCATCATGGATTCAGCACGTGCACCATGTTCTTGGCAGAGCTTCTCAGAGTGAGGATACTGGCAAGTATTCCAGCTATTATGGTGCAGCCGTATAAATATTAGAAAGCTGCACTGCCATCCTGTGCTGAATTTGTATTCTTCAAATGCTACTTCATCAGCTGCTTTTAAACTAGGCTCCAAGTGACTTTCCTGGAACACAAAGTCCCTCTGTCATTAATCAAGGTAGAAATCATTCTAATTTATTGATATGATGGCTTTTAGCAGTCCTTTTAGCAGAAAGGGCCATTAGCATCTCCTAGAAGTAATCTTGCTGTGGTCAGCAGTGCCTCACATGTACCAATATTTTCCCCAGTCCTCAGTTAATTTAAAATGAGGGTAGAATTTTGATGCGGGGAGGGGAAAAAATAACTGTTTTGAAGCACTGTAGGAATTAAGTTGTTCCCATCTGTCTCAAAGTTGCTGTTTTTCACGTGCAAGCAGATAGTGAGCACTTCTCTGCGCTCCTGGTTCTCCTGCTGCTTTGGCTTCATAGCTGTCGAAGACTTGCAGAATGCCTCTGGACCAGTGTGTTTTCCAGTGGCGTCATTCATATCGTGCAATATTGCTTTGGACTTGGTTACTACATTGCCGTTGGCTCAACTGTGCTATGTCAAGTCCCAACTGACGTCAGGAATGGTAAGTGCCTGCTTAGTTATTACCAAAGATGCAATCTTACTCCCATTTGTTTCCATCATGGCAAATGATTTGTTAAAGGGCTGCTTGTGTGAGAAGTGTGTTAACAGATGAGACCTAAAAATACTTACTTGCATAGTTCAAAGTAAGTATGTTTCAGTACATCACATAGTCAACCAGCATCACACACTTTCATGTTAACCATCACTGTTACTTCCTGAAAGACAACTCGCACAGATACTTTCAGGATCATTACCAATCAGTTTTGCATTGAGATACCTGTGTTTTATGAAGGACAGTAGTAGGTACCAGTTCTCAAATGCCACTATGCAACTTCAGTTCTAAAACTGGAGTTTGTTCTTTTTTGTTCTAAGCTTTCCTGTAAGTTGAGTCTGCAAGGCTGTCTTGGCCACCTCCTTTGTTTTCCATTTAGAACTCGCCACCGTTCTGCCTTGCATCAGTCGGTCTCATCTTTCCCTTAGCACTGTAGTGTCTCCATTAATACAGCAGAAATTTGAATTACATGACTTGTTTCTGCCAGCACATTCCACTCAATCTCACAACTGAGCTGCTGTTCCCCTTCGCAGATGAACCATGAGCTGGTTGTAACATTTCTCCCATGACTAATTTTTGTAAGGTGGTCATTATCAAGTATGTAACTTCATTGAAGTTTTTAACCACATCCAACCAGTTCTAGTTTAATCCAGTGATTTTTTCAAAAGAACATTCAGATCTCCTATGTCTAGATAAAACCTTTTTCTTTCTGGACCTGTCTTCTACTTTTCATATCGTGCAGATTCTTGGAGATGGTGTATTGCTTTGTACATTGAAAATCATCCATAATACAATTAACATTTTTCAAGTCCAAAATGGTTCATGGTGTGCGTGTGTGTGTAGGTATGTGTACACATCTCACTCACCATCAACTGGACAAACAGCTGTGTACTTATCTGTTGACCTGAGCCATGACAACATCTTTGATTAAGATGATAAGAATTACAAACCCTGTTGAATATTAAGGTCTTAGACTATCAATTATGTGTCGGTTGTACATCATGCTGTACCTCCAGCTACTGGGTTAAAAACTAGGTATTTTTAGTATTGAGTGGTTAAGGGAAGTGAACTACCAGCTGAGCACTTAAATGATGCAAGATTTAAAAGCATCTTTGGAGGGATTAGAGGCTCACTACTAGATTTTTTAAGACAGTAACATTTAAAAAATGTATACAGTGTTTTGGGATGATGCTTGGGGAGGTATTTCCTGGCTGTGTACTGATGAAACATGTTTCATTTAGGAAAAGAGCTTTCTATGCAGATCCACTGGTATCACATTGTAGGAGTTATGATGTACATTTGGGCCTCTCTTCACCAGCACAGATGTCTTGTGATTCTAGCTAATCTTAGAAAAAATAAATCAGGTAAGGTGTTTCATTTCTGCCAACCATTTACTTAAGTCATTTTTTCCTTTCAGTGGGCTTCTGTAGCTTCTAATACTTTAAAACATGAGTATTTTTCAGTTCCTGTAATGTGGTGCTCTCTCTAAGACTTTCAGTAGATCAAATGAGGCTTTTCGGGAAAGAGATTGGGTGGCTGAATAGGGGGTTGTGTCTGTATATATAGTTTTATAGAACTTCTAGTATCCTAAGGACAGACGCATGCTAACGCTTAGGACTTGTGCCACTCCCCAGGGACCTCATTTCTGTCTCCATGTGGGCTAAAAATAGGTTTCCTTACTCTGTATTTGCACAAACAGCCAGAGGTGGCATCTTATTTCATTAAGAAGTGCAAAGCTGCCAGATCAGATGGAGGTGGATGATGATGATAACTTTAATGAGTATGTTGTTCTGTAATTGTGAGTAAAGTTTGTTTAATGCATATTGTTCTGAACTAATTTCTTTCTGTTTGCTTGCAGGAAAGGTTGTGAGCCTGAGCCACAGTGTACCTTTTGGAGACTGGTTTGAGAGAGTTTCTTGCCCTCATTATTTTGCAGAGCTGCTCATATATGTGTCTATGGCCATCACGCTTGGATTTCACAACGTGACGTGGTGGTGTGTAGTGATGTATGTTCTTTTTAACCAGGCTCTGGCTGCTGTTTTGAGTCATGAGTTCTATCAGAAAAACTTTAGCTCCTACCCAAAGCATCGAAAAGCATTTATACCATTTGTTTTTTAGAATATTTCTTCTAAAGCATCTTTAGTGCAAACTGGGAAATGTTTTCTATAAGGGAATGAGAGATACATGGTTTATTAGAGCCAAGGTGAAATTGCACGTTTTGCCTAACTGTAGCTTAAAAGCTCATCATTTTAATGACAGTCTCATCCGTGTTACCAATGCATGTGGGGAAATACATAGGTCTCTGCATATCATACAGGCTAAAAAAAAGTTTACTGAAGACCTTAATTTAAACTGAAGAGATGCTAATTGGCTCTTTTCTGTTTTACAACTATATCTTAAACATAAAACATTTGCTGTTGTGCAGCAAGCCCAAATAGATACACGTGTTAACTGTGTAGTGAAAGGTGGGTTGCAAGGAACCATTTGAACTACTGTGTTTCATGCCTTGTCTAATATTTAAGCATATTTTTTTGCTAGTCATTTTTCTTTGAATCACTTTAGAGGGAGGCAAATTGTGTATTGTCTTTCTGTACTTCCCTGTTGGTAATTAAAACCAGCCACTGCTTTATAACTGCAGGCACAAAAAACGGTGGACAAAGCTGCAGTGGAGGAATGACTCACGCTCAGCAGTGGAGATAAACAGACCCATTCTCTGCATTATCTCTTCTGCAACAAAGTGTCTTAATTCATTCATGGAAAACTCCTTCTTTATCCCTAAACTGGGCGAATCACGGAAGGTTCTCTGTCTGGAGAGACAGTAGAGGAGAATTTGCAGAAAATTAATGTTCTTGGTTATGGTTCTGCCATCCTTACGGTGGGTTACTGGAATCCCTCGTGTGTTGGAGGGGGCAGTTATGCAGGATGACCGTAACCACGACTACACTGGTTTTTAAACAGCCTGTGAAAGCAGATGTAATAAACTGCTGAAGCAAAGGACAGAAACCAGTATCTGACAAGCGTTGCAGGGAAATTCTGTACTGGAGGGATGATGTCGGTCAGCACAGGGTCTTTCTGCACTTAACCACTGAGTATTTTGGTCCTTTTCATGATACTGGAGTGAATGATCAGATTGTATCATGTAGCATATGGACACGGGTTTCAGCATGTTTTCTTACATGCGTGTATTATTTTGTATATGAGTTTTTATATACTTTATATACTGTATATTTTACGAATTATCTAAGTAAAACAGCTTATTACACCTTCTGTTTCTATTTTGTATAGTTTTTCAAAATTGAGCTGTGTATTTGCAAAACACGAGCGATTACTTTGCACAAAATGTTGTGCCTCTCCTGGCTCTCACAACCCTCTCCCCATCACCGCCTTCCATGCCCTCGCTTCACCATAACATTAATAAACAACCCTGTCTCGGGACCGCATCTTTCCATGTTACTTCTATTTTTTTTTTAGTGATTCCCCGGAGGCTCCCTCAGCCTGCCTCCGAGCGTCTCCCTGTTTTATTGGCGTTCTTGCTCCTGTTTATTAGGCTGTTAAGCACTTCTCTGGGAGCGCATTCCTGTCCTTGCCCGGGGGAGCGCAGGCCCCCCCGGGGTCACGCATACCCAAAGCGCCGCTTTATACTCCGGGTTTTAGAAACGTGGCTGTGCCCAGGCCCTTCCTCGTGCCATTTCTTTGCCTTCTTACGCAGCCGTTTTGCTTCCCGTCCCTCAGCGCCCTTTCCCTGCCCCCAGGCAACTCCGAACAGCGGAAGGACGGCGCTCCGACTCGCCCGCTCCCCGCGGCCGGCTGCGCAGCCGCCCTGCCCGTCCCCTCCGCGACGCCGGGAGCCGGAGGAGCGGGTGGAAGTTCCGGAGGAGCGGGTGGAAGCTCCGGAGGAGCGGGTGGAAGCTCACCCCGAGCGCCGCGGAACTGCCCCGGGACCCTCAGGGGCCGGCGCCGGGCCGCTGCCTCCCGCCCGCCCGCTGGCCGACTGCGGCGGGCGGAGCGTCAGTCAGCGGCCGCAGCCAATGGGCGCGGGGCGGCCCCGCCCCTCCGGGCCGGGCCGTTGCAGGAAGCGGTTGGGGGACGGTTGCGGGGCCGCGCGGCTGGGGCGCTGCGGGGCCCGGGCGTTGACGCGGCGCCTTTAAGAGCGGCCCCCCCGCCCCCCCCCCCCTTCCCTCAGCACCGCGCTCCGGCCGCCATGGCCTCCCCGCCGCTCCCGCGGGCCGCCGCGCTGCTGCTGGCGGCGTCGCTGCTGCTACTGGCGGTGGCCCCGGCGGGGCTCCGTGCCGCTCCGGAGGAAGAGCCCGTCAGGAAGAAGGAGCCGCCGCCGCCGCCGGCGCTGGGAGCCGAACCGCGGGCTGAGGTGAGGCGAGGCGAGGCGAGGCGGGGGGGGACGGGCCGCAGCGCGCCGCAGCGGCTGCCGGCACAGCCCTCCCCTGCCCTCCCCTCCCTCAGCCGGGCCGCGGGGGCGGGCCGGGAGGACTTCGCGCCTTTCAGAGGCCAGACGGCTCCGAACTTCCCCTGCTTTATCAGAAAAAGGGAAAGCCGCAGGGCCACCTTAAAAGGCAGCTTTCCTTTCCTCTGCTAAGAGGGGAATTTAGGTCCGACGTGAAAAATGGGCTAATTGTTATTATTTTTTTCCGTCACGTAGATATTTTTATGCCCCGCTTGCTTGCATACTGAGGGGGGAAATCGACCTCCTTAGGTCTTCCTCACAGAAGCAGGTGAGAGCACGCTGTGTTGTGACTCAAAACCTGCCAGTTTTTCCTCAGTGCTTAAGATGAGTTTATTTGCGTTACATTTTTTTAAATGATGTTCTTGCTTAGGGGATTATCGTGCTGGATGATCACACAGAGGGATGAAAAAAACTATTAACATATGGCTTGATGTAGCATGTAGAACATGCCAGGTTTTAAACACCAAAACCAAAAATTTACAGCACTGCTAAAGGTGAAAAAACTGTGGGAACTCATCGTATATGGTACAGAGCATGGAAACTTTTAAATATCAAAACTAGAAACTTGCAGCACTGCTAAAAGTGGCATGCTGGGAAGTCACCGTGTTAAAACACGTTGCTGTCTGTCTCTGCTGGTAGGTGTGCTGAAACAAGCTTCCTTAGCCATCTCTGGTCAATCACGTGAACATCAGTGTCTATGTTTTGGGTTTTGCTTTTGATTGTAGCTATCTTAATCTCTATAAAAGTAAACGCTTTGGTGAGGAAGTGAGATCTGGAGTATGCAGGTCTGGTTTGACCACTGGAAAATCTTAAAGCTAGTTTTCAACAAATGTAGAGCATGTACAAAAAAAAAAAAAAAGCTGATGAAAACTTGCGCAAAGTTTTAATGAGGCTGAGATGCAAAGATTCTGCAAGGGAGGAAAGTGATTCTGACAATTTTTAAAGTACTTAGTATTTTTCCGAAGGTATCCTAGTCACCCAGTTTTAGTCTGAAGAATTGCATTCTTAATATTTATATCAGAAAATTGCTTTCTTGGTCAAGATCATAAATTAAATAGCCAGGAACTGTAAATACAGCAATATTAGAGCTGAACTAAAGCAGCTTTCCCCATGTTTTGTTGCAAGAGTGGTTCTCATGGTCTGGTAATCATGTGCATGGTAAAGTGCTACTTTAATAATCTGTGCATGATCTGATCTTCCAGCTAAGCACCTAACGAGCAATTTGAGGTAGGTGGCAGCCAGTAACTAGTTAATGACCATTAATGCTGCATGAGAGGTGTATACTTAAATGTCATGCTACGCAGTATGGTATGACAGGAGAAATACAAGGCGAAGTACTTCTGCGAACTATTCAAGCCTAATTAACTAGGGAGTTTTTTGTTGTTTTTTTCTTTTTTTCCCTTCCCTCCTACAGAAGGGGTCCTCACAGGTTGCTCCAGTCCACATCGTCAGTGAAGAGTCAGCTGACAAGACTAATTTGGGCTTTATTCATGCATTTGTTGCTGCTATATCGGTCATCATCGTATCGGAACTGGGGGATAAGACCTTCTTCATTGCAGCCATCATGGCAATGCGGTACAACCGTTTGACTGTACTGGCTGGTGCTATGCTTGCCTTGGGACTGATGACGTGTTTATCAGGTTAGCACCCTTTTCTTCTTGTTTCATCTCTTGTAATGTGCTGGGTACATATTTATCAATAAATCGTAATTGAAATTATGATGAAGGTGGTAGGTATATGCAGTTTTCTGTTTCAAGGAGAGTGTGAAGGTTTTCTAGGGACCATAGCTCAGATTGAATATTTAGGGAATGTGGGAGTGACTTCTATTTTTCCTCCTAAGGCAAAAGATTCTTAATACAGTGACAAATTTCCCTCGTCTGACTTGTATCCCTGTACGTGTAGCTGTTTGGATTTGCGCTGGGAGCTGCGTAAGTGGCAGATGACGTTCTGCCGCGATCGTGTGAGAAGAGTGGTACTGACAGCAGAGAGCTGGGGCAGGGAAGTGAGGTGGCAGGTGGCACTTGAGGAACCTGTAGCTGTGGGTGCTTACGTAGCAATCACTGTAAAATGGAGCAGCCTTCAGGTATATCAGAGGCAGCATAAATGTTGTTGTATGTGTGCTCATTTCTAACCGTGCCCATTTCAGAAATAATTGAGAGTGTTGGTTTATATACATGGGTAGGAGTGCATATAAGAAAGAGCATTTTTTTTATTTCTCTTATCCCCTCTCTCCACTGCCCTTGTTATATACAATCTGTGTCTGGAAGTTTCTGGGGCTGTTGCCCACCTTTGTTTCATGAAAACGTGCTCACTTAAACTCACTAGGTCCAAGTAATCACTACTTGAGGTGTTTTTTCAAGCTGTGCTTGACAAAATAAGCTGCATTACCATTATTATTTCATTATGTCTATGCTTGTATATGCATGTAATGCTAACAAAAAAAAATGGTTTTTGATAGTTTCTTGCATTGCTTTACTTTTTTATTTTCTGTCTTTAAAAAGAAGTTTAGTTTAACTCCTTCTGGCTTATTTGACGGTGCAACTAATACTGTTACTCATGTATGTATGTGCCATGTTTACTAATAGTAGAGCTTAATTAATTTTGGTCTTATTATCTTACTTCTGCTAGTGGCAGTGTGGATTAATTTCCAGATTATGTAGTAACTTCTGAGAGCATTTTTCAACTCAGAAAGTGTGTGTAAGAAAACACACATGGTAATATGCTAATTGCATGTGGAGTAAAACAACAGAAACAGCTGTGAGTGCATGGTCCAAGCAGCCTTTAATGTGAGGTGGTGTGGAGTTTCAATTACCTCTCATTTATACAGGCCAAAAATGCCTAATTAGTCTTACTGTGTGAAGAAGTAAGTACTTTGTCCTGAATACTATTTTTTTCTTATTTCAGAACTAGTTTTTGGCTTAGTTTGATCGCCTTCAATACTTGTAAAAGTAGATGCACTGTGGAGGTAGCTGTTTGGTCTTTGGGATCAGTGCTTTTAAAAGGAAGATCAAAGCTGGTCATGTGCGTTTGTGGGGAATGTGGGAGAAAAGAGAGTAGTAATGTGCAGGTATTTGCACTTGGCAAAAGAAGACAGACATGGATTCACACAGCTGGATGATTTGTGGATATGTCTGGTAGATTTAACTTGTAGAAAATCTTATTCTAACTTTATCTGACAAATGAAGTGATTGGGAAGAGATACTATCTAGCATGTAGTCATATATAAAAATGGAATTAACTAGACTGGCTCTTGGGAAGAGCAGCACATCACCTTCTGTGCCTTGTCTGCATGTTAATGGACTTCAGACTCTGGTATGACCAGTAATGGCTGGAGTTTCTACAATATTGTTATCTTGAAAAAAAAAATATATAGAAAAGTAACAGAAGATGCAATGTTTATTTATCAGTGGATAGCTGAATTGCAGACTTTGCTAGCAAGGATTTCTTAGATGTGGGAAAAACAATTATGATCTTCATGCTTATTTTTTTAAATGACACTTTTGTTTTCTTTCCAGTTTTGTTTGGCTATGCCACCACAGTTATTCCTCGTGTATACACATACTATGTGTCAACGGCACTGTTTGCAATTTTTGGCATCCGAATGCTTCGTGAAGGCTTGAAAATGAGTCCAGATGAGGGTCAGGAAGAGCTGGAGGAAGTTCAAGCAGAAATTAAGAAAAAAGATGAGGAAGTAAGTCATAAACTTTCTGTAAATTATGGCTGATGAAACAGTTACAGCCGTGAAGCTGCAGACTGTCACTGTCATGTTTGGGGTGTTCAGCTGTGTCTGTGATGGATAATCAGGCACAGAAAACGTGTGGTGAATGGCACAGAAAACGTGTGGTGAATGGCACAGAAGTGTCCCCTGGAGGCTGCGTTGACAGGTGATTCCAGTTCTGTGGCAAGACTGGCTTCTCAGCAGAAAAGGGTCTTTCTCCGTGGAGTGGGGTTTTTGTTTGGTTTTGACCTTGTTTTG